TTTGAACCCACACACTTGGCATGCATCTCCTGATTTGTCGTGTTCCAGATGCTTTGTTATCATTGCTAATTGACTTTACAGTCCCGACACACTTTTTCCCTAGGAGTGACCTCATGATCCACTTAATTTTGGGTGGCTCTGCCTCCTGTAGGTTACTCCTCCATGTGAAGTTTTTGAATCTTTTTTCACTTCTCAGTTAGTTACCTCTTTTGTTTTTGGTCTCTGGTTCATCATCCAATTGCCCTTGCTGTCATTAAGTTTCAGACAGGTTTACATCAAGTTTATAATGTTAGTTTTTTTTTTCTCATTCCATCAGTCTTCTTCCCCAAATTTTTGTTCATCCATGTCATTTCGGTTCAGGTCTTTCTGATTGATCTTTTCTTGCCTGGCACTGCTTTGGTTTTCTCGGCTGTTTCAGCTTGATTTGTTTCTTTTGTTCTGGATCGATTTTATTCACCTATATTTTAATGGCTCATGTGGTATATTTCTTTCAACTTTTTTGTTTCCTACCATTTTCCACATTTCTTCTTGATGGGATCCAGATGACCTTCTCTGTCCAGTGCTTGCTGTGGGTTGCTTCATTGTTTTCATGGCTTCTTTCCATTGAATCAGTTTCCCACAGTTTCCTTCTCTTACTCCACTTCTATGTCTGTGATTTTTTTTTCACCTTCCTCTCTTACCCATTGGGTTTGGATTGTGATTTGATTGGCCTTTTATTGCTAGTCTCCTTCTTCCCGTCATCATTTCCTGGTGTCTTCACTTCAATCACGCACCTTCCTTTTTTTCCTGCATGTTTACCTTGTCATTCATTGGAGGTACTTTCTATTGGAAATACATTTTCAGTATAGAAAAATTAGAATTTTCACTTGAGGATAGAAGGATAAGAGATGATCTTAGTGAAGCTTACAAAATTATTGAAAGATTAGTATGAGAAAGACCTGATTTTTTTTTCTTTAATGTAAAGTAAATAGAACAAAAGTTTAAGGCTTGAAAAAGACAGGCTAGGCTCCAATTAAGTCAATTGTATTTTTCTAACAGGGTGATTAGCTTGTGGAATGAGTTATCATCAATAGTAGTGGAGGCTGGAAACTTGCCAGGGCTTAAGAGTGGAATCATTGATTTTCTAAAATGTAAAGACAAGATTTAATTGAGGGTGAGTTTGCACGAATGGCCTTGAAGAGCAGTATGGTCTTTTGTTGTCCACATGTCAAATTTTTATTCCCAACTTTATTATTCAGGTGTTCAAACAGTACACCCAAAGAAAAACTGTAGAAACCAGTTACACTTTTGAACTTCTTTTTTTTTTTACAGCACAGGCTCAGTCTCTGGGACTGACCTCATAACCATTTAGTGCTTGTTATAGTTTTCATGCTATAACTTTTAAATTAGTAATCGTATGTTAACCAAATTTGGCATATTATCAGAAAGTATTATAATGCTTTCATACAGATATTTTTTATTAACTCTTAGGTTTGTAAAACAATGTTTTTCTTGTGCCTTTTTTTTCTTTTCCCATGATGCCTAGCCAACATGGAAAGTAATTTTCATTTTAAGACTAAAAATACTTTTGTGCAAATTTCACATGCAAGATATTTATAATGTCTGCATAGTTATCAAATATTTCTTAAGAAAAAACTTTATATTTTATCTGTTATTTTCAGTAACGAATGTCTGTATGGGTTTGGTCAATTTGAACAGTCTCATAACCATGTTAAACAAATTAGGAAAGAGATATAAGTTATACCTTTTTCATTCTAGAATGACTACAAATTATAACGCGAACAGATAAGTGTTTAGACTAAATAGCTAAAATCTCATAACATTATACTTTTATATATATATTTATTATTTTTATTACATTGACGTTTCAGCCATGACTGGCTAGCAATACAGAAGTTACAATGACATGATGCAAGTGCACTCATGTTGCCGTATCCAATAATATAAAACTGACCTTTAGTCTTTACAAAGTGACCTGTCTTGGCTGTGTTTTAGTGGACTAGTATTTTGTAAAATACAGTCACATTTTAATTATTATACATTATATGTGTGTATAAATTATTGCTATTTAAAAATACGTTCTTAAACTTATTTTTCTTAAACATAGAACAGTAAATAAAGAAGTAAAGCAAACAATTATCTCTTCTAGTTACGACCTTTGTACTCGGTTTGTGCATGACATAGCTTGCTAAGCCTTTTAAAATTTTGCACGTGGATGATATTAAATATTTTTTAGGTTTTATTTTTACAGTTGAATAACCAAAAAAATCATAAATTACTATATCAATACCACAAGATTCCACTAATTTATCAAGCTTAGTAACTAAGCTATATTTCAGTCTAAAAAGATATGAAATTTTGAGCAGACTAAAGGTATAACCTACCTCCTTGAAATCTTGGTTTGAAAGTAAGAGATGGTATTCTAACATGTTAAAATGGCTGAGAAATCCACTAAGGGGACATTCTGAACTTCCAATTGGTTATTAATATCATATATAGAAGTAAGTGTATATAAGGGAGTGTTTCCCAAAATGGAAAGAGGTGGGTGGGGTGCCATTGTGTTTGATTTATTACATGAGCAATATCTTAGCAAATTGAAAAGATAAGAGGCTCATATTTTATATTCTATTTGTCAGTTTCGGTA